CCCCCCCCCCCACACCCTCAATGTGTATGCGTGTACTGCCGATTGAAGCTAGTTCGTGACCCCGGATTTGGTGCGGAAGAAGAGTAGAGGAAGGTCAAGAAACGGATTCAAATGAGCGTCACGACAACACCGGCAACCTCTTCGCTTGGTGAAAACGCGGACATATTGCTGTGGGGAGCGCCGATGCTAAAAACGCACGCAACTTTGCCGCGGGGAAGGCTTGTCTCGCTGCAGAAGTAGCGGCGGCGCCAGCAGCAGCAGTACAGCAGTACTTGTCGCAATCACGAACAGCATATTGGTGAAATTGAGAGCGAAGCATCTGATTGAGAGCGAGATTGCGCGATGCCCTGCAGCTGGACTACTGCTGAGAGGTGGAGCTTGCTGTGTAGCTTGAATTGAAGGGCCAGCCCGTAGCTACAAGCAGATACCCGTCATCCTGTGGGAGTCTCTCGATGTGGACTTACAGCGGCGAGCAGAAGCTACAGCAGAGCCCACCGCCCGAGGCCAAACCGCTCTGCAACAGCTTGAGGCAGGAATAGCCAATCTGGGGAAATCTAGCAACTTGTCTAGCTCCTAGCTGCAGCATCCGATGACGATGACACGCATAGACTAAAGTGGTAGTTTTCCTGGACCCGCCCACAGGCCACTTGATAAATTTCTCTCTAGGGCCTGGTTATTTACCCAACAAAATATATACCATTCGAAAGCTATGAACCAGGGCTTTCGAATGAACCCACTTTTAGCTTTCACAGACACCTTGGTGACGAGTTATGCCGAATATACCGTTTCACCAAAAACGCGGCGGAACCGGTAAACTACGATTTGTCGTGCCCCCACCACCGCTGTGAAAAAAAATATATATATTTTTGGAATCCTTGAAACAAACTGGTTCTAAATCACCTGGTTTAGAACTCTTTTTTGCCCAGGCCCTAGACAGAAATTAAAAAAAATAAATAAAAAAAATCGCGGCCGAACCACCGCTTGGGCCGCGTGTCGCACACAGCCGCCGGTAGGTGTACACATGTTGTTGTGAAGACGAGACCGGCAACCAAATGGAACTCGACCAAGAGAGGTTCTCCTGCCTGCAGCAGTTGGTTCCCGACGGATACACGCTGCGCGACAAGCTCAGCATCGAGAGACAGAAGCCACGAAAGTATCGGTTAGTTAGTGCTGCACTCAAGGTCGCGAGCCAACAATACTGAGTTGAAATGGCGGAGCCGCTGGATCACGTCTGGGAAGCCACGCGGCCGCGACGCCGTCGCGGAGGGAATCATCATAGACGAGGTGACTGCTGCCATGCTTCTCTACCAGGGCGAGAGCATATTTCGAGGTTAGTTTTAAACGGAGCAAAGCGGGTCCGATAATTTAGGGGAAAATTCCGGGCGCGAACAGTAATCTTGCTCGCAATTCGATTGTTGTTGTTGTTGACTTCACATTAAACCGTATGCCAGTTGCTAAATGCCAAAATCTAGCAAAGACTCTCGGCCCGTGGTCACGAAAGTGCTGGAGCCATCTGAGGATCTAAAGAACACGCACACGTAGCAAGAAAAAGGTGTACAAGAGCCCGAAGAGGTACTACTACACCTATATATAATCCCTGCAGCACCGTACGCGTGCCCAAAACTGAACTACACGTCCGTCTCACCGTTCGACTACAGCAACATCACCCCCTACTTGTCCCACTCTGTACCAAAACGAATGATTGCCGACTACAGCATACTTGCTGTCTGAAGTGCTGTCTGTACAAAAACACCATGGTAGGCATGGAACAAGAAGCTGGCGGGGCACAAAGCTGCTGTCTGAAGTGCTGTCAGAATGTGTCTGCGGACGTACAGTGAAAAAGAACAACCAACCAAAGCCATGATTGCAATGGACAATCACCCGAACCTCTCCCGATCGTCTGTGTTAGGCACGCAGTGAAAATATCGGCAATAGCTAAGAATCGTTCCACACTGAAGGGGTCTTCCACGATCAGGCACATAACCAGGGCACCCGGGTTAGCCACGCCATCTCTGACGGGTCTCTCTACAAAACCAGTGACGACGTCATCACATAGAACCAACACCGAAAATCAGGAAAAAAACGAGATTGTGGGACTTTATATTTAATCACACATGTTGACAGCGCCACATCTGCCGCCCCTAAATTGTCGGTTTCTTGTTTGTATTTGCAGCCGACGACAACCAGAGGCGCGCGTGGTATCGGGACGGCCAGCATTNGGATCATGGTGTCGGGGACGATACTCCACAACGTTGGCTTCTTCTCGGCGTCGCGGGCACAGATCCAGGACGCGGAGCGCAACCGCAGGAAACGATGCGCCGCCTCAGCTGCCGCGAAGCGACGGGGGGAAAACGTGAAGGTGGAGAAGTGCCACCCCATCGACATGCTTCATGAAGACGAGCATGGACAGTACTGGTCCTACCACCGCTTCGAGTACGGCAAGAACAAGGAGGGATACTGGACCGGGTTCAGGATGCTGGACCGCATGTCAGACGTGCTCGACATGTTCACAGTTCTCCACCCTGAGCATAAGCCTGTAGGCCTGTTCGACTGGTCGTCCTGTCATGACTGCATGGAGGTCGGCGCACCGTCGGTGAAGAGAATGAACTTGGGTGTCGGTGGTGTGAGGAACGGAGAAGAGCTTGCGCCGATGGACCCCGTGACCATCCTCGAAGATACCCCGAACCTCCCAGCCGGCACGGTACAGCACTTGGTGTTTCGGAGGGGGGACGATCCCCCCTTCCACTCCCCGCATCTCAAGCCGGCGCAATATGTCGGAAAGTTGAAAGGAATGCGGCAGATTTTGTGGGAGAGGGGGCTCCTGGTCAAAGGCATGAGTAAGACGGGGGGCTCGGGCGAAAAGCAGGACACCAGCAAGAGCATGGAGCACGTTTTGGGAGAGCAGGACTTCAAGGAAGTTGATTCTAGTCTGGTGCTGCTGTTGATGCAGCGCCACGGGGTGGCCTGTCTCATGCTTCCTAAGTACCACTGCGAGTGTAACCCCATCGAGCCTGTTTGGGGCCGAGCGAAGGACTGGACTCGAAAGAACTGCAAATATTCGTTGGAATGCTTGCGCAAGAACGTGCCGCTGAGTTTTAGATCAGAGAAGGATAGACAGGCTGTTTCGGTAGTCCAGGGCTACTGCAAGAAGGCGTACACACACGCCCTCATGTACCGCGAGACGCGTGTGCAAGGGCCTGAGGGCAAGAAGACGTACTAGAAGTACAAGTCGCACAGGCGCCCGACCCCGAAGGAATGGAGGCCGTAGAGTCGATGGCGCATTCTTGTTCATTGAGCTGTATTTGTTCAGTTTTTTTCCGTGTTTCTGGTGGGAATGTTGCACAAAAATGGAACATTTTTGTTGAAAACGGCCAATTTTTGTGATGTATGTACGCTATAGGTGCGGTAGAGGCATTTTCATAGTGTTTGAGGGCGTTCCTGTGCACGTGTGGGTGGTTTGGTGCGAGAAAAAAAAAAGGATTAGCAACACATATGGGGGAAAAGTTGCTCTCGGGCCAATTTCGTGGGTTCGAGACCCGCCGCGAGCATCTTTTTTTCTTTTTTTTTTTCTCTTTTTTTCCTTTTTTTTTTTTCGGCGACTCGCTGCTCTTTTGCGCCTTGCCGCGGGCGTTCCGAAGCTGTTTTTCTTTTTCTTTTACTCGCTCTCAGTCAAAAGTTATGAAGGGACAACCAAAATCGGGTCCTTAAAAATTACCTCTTTACGCTCGTGACGGTGTTGATGAGACCTTCAGTTTGCGCCGCTTCTTGGAAGAGCCCGCCCCCGCTTTTCCACGAAACGGCAAGAGGCGTCTGGACCCGATTTTAATTTTTTTTGGTTCTCGCTCTCGATGTCATGCTTCGCTCTCCATTTACATGCTAAATTAGTGATGTTGAACGTGTCCCGCCCGAACAATGTCGCACAAGGAACTAGAAAATAGTTCGGTGCGACAAGAACGAGATGCTCGACGTGTCCTTCGTAAGTCTGATGGCACATTCCCATTTTGCACGAAGGTGTGACTTGGGAGTACATGCTGTTCGATTGCTTCGGTGTTTTTCCTCGGCTCGAGTCCTATCATACCTCGTTTTATCCAGAGGAACTACGAGTGACTGACCGTAACTCCGACACGAGATTGTACCAAAACGCATACATGCGAAACAACCCCGTCTCCCTCCTTCTTTAGTAGTGCAAAAAACGTCACAACATACGGACACATGAGAGCAGTACAGCTGGCCTATTAGGCCATCGGCCCTCGCCTGCTCCCAGTCGAGGCGCGGTAATAGTCCCTCGACGTGAACTTCAAGCACACGCATCTCATAGTATTATATAATAGCACACTCAACAACAACGACACAGGATGATACACATTTTACGGTACTACGCAGAGAAGACTGGCGATTTTTTCCCTCCTACCCCGGCACTCTTTCGCGTCGATCACCATGTGGTCTCCAAAACGCACTTGCTTCTCACAAACCACCTACGAATGCTCGGCATCTAAGCCCACCCTAAGCTCGTCTCGCTGAGCACACTACGTTGCTCTTCACGGCGGCGCCAATTTTCACTATGACGCGCTTAATCGGTTCCATGTGGTGCTTGTCCGCCAGACCGCGCCCCCCCTTTATTCACCCTCGACTCCTCTATAGAAACCATCCCCTCCTCTAAATCGTTTGCGGTACAAATGAATCAATATAGAATGAAACCTCCAAGGTGACGAAGGACTTTTTGCTTGATGCAGCAATCAGCAGTCCTTTGCCTGCTACACTCTTTTTTGGTCATGCTGCCCCTGCAAGTACAAACACACGCCGCAAAGCATGCACGAATGCTCCCTGCGTTCGTCGTATCTCGGACCACGCACGAAAGGCCTACAAACTACGTCTATCATTCAGCAACATCAAGAACTAGAATACCCTCGAGTTTGTTGTCTCTCCTCCGGGAACAGCAACATCTGCTGACTCCCGTTCTACCTGTACAGACACGACCGAGCTCGGAGACCTGCACCAGCTTTCTGATCGTACCTTTTCTCTCTCTCTCAAACCAGGCATATCCCCCTCCCATCCAAATAAAGAATTATTCCAAACACGGGGCCCTCAAAACCCGTTGCAACCGAAGGACCCATCGACCTCACGGTCTCGCGGTTCGGAGCTTGGTACAGCCCCAGTATACCGCCAACCAGCCCAGCACGCCGGGTGTGTATACATACAACCCTCAATTTTTCAAATCTCGCTGGTTCGCACACTTTTTCTTGCCTGCCAAACCATTTCCAGGCTTCCGTACCAGCAACAACAACGACCACCGGAAGCGACCCCGTCAGCGGAAGCAACGCATGCGGAGTCTGCTCCTCTTCCTTCCTCCCCCCTCAAGCACAATAACACGTCCCTCGCCCCCGCTTTTGATTCTTCAAACAATTCCATGATCGTGGGAGGGGACATCCAACCGTAATTTGGACCACGCGCACATCAACTAAGACACGGATGGGTAGGGTTCACAAGTTAATAGGTGCAAAACAACGGGCCAAATTGGATCACAAGTTGATTGTCACCCTTTCCCAGTCAATGTCAACCCCTTATCCAGCCCTGACAGCTCTGCTCGAGGAATTCCTCTCAAAAGACCAGAAGCATGGTGTTTTTTTTCCTCTCCATCATGACCACAACGGCACTTGGGCCTCCTCCTCCGCCTGAAGCATACACCTTGGCGTAAGGATCACCAGAACCCTAAAGGCGCACAACACCATATCTATTCCGGCCACCCGGCAAAAGCAGGCGTCCAACATTAGCTAATAAAGATCTTTCAAATCACACTTGACCTCCACGTACCCCTTTCTCCATTCTTCTACGCATGCTTCACCGCGACCCTTGTTCCGTTTGTTTCTCTTTTTCAAACGCGAATATATACAATCTTGGGAGAGCGCGCGCAACGAACAACAAGACCGCTCCCTTACAACGACCTAAGGCGGGCTGCGCTCCCCCAACTTCCAATCACTCCTACCTCCCTCAACAGACAGGGCTTCAAGTTCCTCTGTCCCAAGTGTTACTAACCCCCAACCACAAACAATTCTAGCCAAGGAAGCGGTTTCCCCCCCCGCCGCGCCCGCTGGCTTCAAATGGGTCAATGTTCGAGAACCCCACGAGGTCGTACGCGCTGCCGGTGTTCATGTCCGCGGGCCCCCCCCCGGTCCTGCGGATAGTCGACACGGTGTTGTAACCGTCGGATGCTCCGGAGAGGTAACGCTTTCCGAGCGGCGAGGTCACCAGGGCGCACCCCACGAAGTCCAAAGCCGAGTCGTAAGCGTCGGCCGCGCCTCCCAAAAACGTCGACAACACGGACAATCTACCACCACCGCCGCCGCCGCCGCCGCCGTTGCCGGTGAGCGGTCGCTCTGGTCCCTCCAAGGTCTCCGCGCTGTTGTACGTCGTAGCCACCGTCTGGTCCCGGATTTCATCTTGGACGTGGTCCTCGCCGCCGCCGACGCCGCCGCTGTTGTTGTCCTTGCTGCTGCTGCCGCCGCCGCCGTCAGCCTCGCTGGCGCCCCCGAAGATGCCTCTCCGGAGCGGAAACCCGCGGCCGCGGAACCGGCTGAGCAGCATCTGGGGGTTGCCGGCGCTGCCGCGGCGGGCGCTCCTAAGGCGGCGACAGCCGGAGCATTCTGAGCAGCGTCGTGGGTATGAGCCAACCTCCGCAAGCGGCGAAACCCAGCGTTGCCTAGCGGCGAGCGCGCCGCTCGTGGAGCTCCTGCGGTGCACGCCCGTCACCCTGCCGCGCGTGTGAGGCGTGGGGACGAACGCCATCCCGCGGGTGGCCACCCGGACGGCGGCCATGGTGGCATCGGCATTGGCATTGGCGGTGGCGGCGGCGGTGGCGGCGGCAGTAGTGGTAGTAGTACTAGCGGTGGTGGTGGTAGTGCTAGCGGTGTTTGTTGTAGTGCCAGCGTTCGTATATGTGGCGTCGGAGGTGGTGGCGGGTTGGTCTTGGCTGGCAGTCGAGCTGCCCTTGCGTAGCCAGGCTTTGACGGTGCTGTGGAAGCGCTGTTCGAGGGTCGGGGCCCAGTCGGGGGTGTAGTTGTCGTCCATGCCCGCCTTCGACTGCAGGATCTCCTCCGGAACGCCGACCCGCATGGCGAAATCGCTCACGTCGCGGCGTTTGTAGTGCCGCCTGTGGTCCTCCTGTCGAGATCGAGTAATGCAGTCGGGTGAAGGTCTCATGTCAAGGTCGAGTAATGCGACAGACTCGGGACGCGAAAACAAATCGGGCTACAAAGAGCGTTAGAATAGGTGGCGGGCTTTCTGGGGGGAGGCGGGCGGGGGGAGGGTGGGGGGGGTGCTCATAGCGGTGCATGTCTTTAGACCATTGGGGGGCAAGTGCACCGCTTGAGAAAACTGGCAGGGGTTGAATCGACGGAGGCTATACCTTTATGTCATGGGCCATGGGTCTATAAAAACTTTATAGGCCTTCGCCTTCGTGTCGGTACTCGAAAAAGGGACGACGACCGCATGGACTCAAGAAAAAAGGCGGTTTCAACGGTAGGCATCCCGGCCGAGGCAGCGCAAACGCCCCGTAACCCGTCCATGGCCACCAAGGCCAAGTAGTCCACATCTCGCCGCCTAGAACGAACGGACCAACGGTTGTACTCACGAGCTCGGTTTCGGTCTTCACCAGGTCCCGGTTCGCGTAACGATTGCGGAGGTAGGCCTGCCCGTCGCACGTCGCCAGGGTGCCAGGGTGGCACAGAAAAAATAGCATCAGCATCTTCCCCAGCACATAGTGGATAAATACCCTCTGCGAGAAGGAAAAGCACGATGGAAGGGAGAGGGAACGAGGGAAAGGGTAAGGGTAGCCGTGTCGACCGGCAGGTTTTCAGGGTGTCGTAGTGTCTAGCAAGTGTGCGGGTGTTGGTGCAAGAAACGTTCAGAAACACGCTGTGTAGTCGTGGGGCCTCTACATACGTATAGGGCGCGTTTCACGTTGTAGGTCGGACAAGCTCTTGGCAAACATCCAACAACAAACTTGTTTTGTTGACGGGAGTATCTTCGAATATCATGGTTGCCTGCAATGTGCAAGTCGGGTGAATCGGCCGGTTCGCAGTATGCAAAACTGAAATGCATCGAGGCCCCACGACCGAAATCCCTATCTCATATCTTGATCAACCGTAATGTCCGCAAAGGGTCGAGCATTTAGTTCAACCTTGACCTTGTTAATCGGGAGTTCTGCCCATAGTTCGGCTTGAAGGCTTTAGGGGGTGCCGTAAACTAGATAGAATTTTCGGAGTATCAACAAAAGTTGATGAGTGTACAACAAGCAAGACGCTAACCGTGCCTAAGCCTAAAAATCAACAAGGCGTTTGGCTTGAAGTTGAACGGAACATCAAGCCGACATTGTAAATGACATGGCGTTCAAATGCCACGAGCGTCGGGCGTCCATCAGGCCACACACACCACGGGAACTCGGAGGGAAAGCGGCGATGGGGGTTTTAAGGGGGAATTCATTGACGTATTAGTCTCGGGATGTTTAAAAAGCATTTGCCGCGCAGCGGTAGCCATCGGTAAGGTGTAAGACAGAAAAATAATCAAGCATTTTCCTTTGAAGGAAAGCGGAGCGCCGAAAAAGAAAAGCAAACCCAATCATGTCTGGACAGGACAAAGCAAGGCAACAAAACACAAAAAACCGCCAGTAGGAGGATTGGGGGGGGTGGGGGGGGGCGAGGCGGATCTTTGCTATTCCCCCTGTTATACTGTACACACGTCGTTCGTGCTGAAAAATTCTGCGTTCCAAAGGCGAAAAGGCGACGTGGCACACGATGATTTTCACGTTATTCGTCAACGGTTTATCCATTGCTGTTTTGTAAGAAAATCGCA